TGCAGCCAAACTTCATAAATTTGCTGTGAGTGATGTACTTATTGTAATTAACACCAAAAGTGTCAATAACCAATCTTTAAAAAACATTTATTGCAAACTTTTAGGCAAAATTTCATGTTAAAAATCTGTACAAATGACCTCTGCCTGACCTTTGACCCCAAGCCAGTGACCTTTGGTGAATAATTCCTATTAAATAAGCTTATTTTTTCAACAAAATTTTCTTTGTCTATAACTTTGTGTATATTTCAAGTATTAAACCCCATTTATCTTAGCAAAATACCACCTAAATCAAAAGACGCCATTTACTTACAGTGACCCAAGATAATGGTGGCCATCTTGAAAAAGCTCCCTTAAAAACCTTTTTTCCACTACTTAGATATTTCTAGATTTTTATTATGTTTTACTTTGGATATAAAGCTTTCTAAAATACCTAATAACATTTTTTGCAGTAAGTCTCTACTGAAAAAAAATGTTAAAAAAATTAAGTCTTATAAAACCTTATGAATACCCTTGCTGGCGGCCATATTGGAAAAAAGGAATTGAGCCTGAACATAGATGGTTGTAATAAGAAAAAGTAAAAAAAAAACAAATTGTTTCTATATATTTTATGACATTTACATAGAAATATTTGTCCCCAGATTGAAGAGAAGTCAACTTTTAATACCTACCCTACACATTTATACATACTTTTTATTCATCTGATTTTTCACAATTTGTCTCATATTTCTCCTAAAAAATACATATTTTGCAGCCAAACTTCATAGATTTGTTGTGAGTGATGTAATGATTGTAATAAACACCACAAGTTCTAATAAACAATCTTTAAAAACATTTATTGCAAACTTTTAGGCAATATTTCAGGTAAAATTCTATACAAATGACCTTTGCCTGACCTTTGACCCTAAGCCAATGACCTTTGGTGAATAATTCTTATCAAATAAGCTTTTCTTTTAAACAAAAAGGTCTTTGTCTCTAAGTCTGGATATACACACACTGGACAAAAGAAGTGTCACCCCCTAACTCAGAGTAATAAAAGTAGACNGATTTTTAATATGATGATCAGAGATTAGTGGACCAACATAACAGGAATCAATTAGTTCATCAGATGCCCTGGTTAACACAAGATCGAGTGTGTGGCCCTGGACATGTGTTGGAGAAGTGACATGCTGAGTTAAAGCAAATGAGCTTATAAGTTCATTAAATTGTTTAGTCTCAGGGTTATCATGCTTTTCCCAAGGGAGATTCATATCACCAACAATGAGAAGTTTTGCTCGTAAAGGTGCCAGATGTTCAAGCAGATCAGCAAATTCTGAGAGAAATGATCCCTTGCGGAGTTTATTTGCCTTTGATGGTGGAACTCTGTAGACGGTGACAATTCTTAATGAATCTGAGATGGCTGTTGCTTGGGCTTCAATATATTCAAATGAGGAGCAGTCATTTGATTTTGGAAGATACGTTAGCTTAAATTGCTCTTTACACAGAATGGCCACTCCTCCTCCTCGGCGTCCAATGCGTGGGAAATGAATGCCCTGGTATCCCGGTGGTGTAATATCAGCTTGTATTTGTTGCTGGAGATCCGATGTAACCCATGTTTCAACCATAGAAACGAAGTCTATGTTGTAGTCTTTGATGAAATCAGTAATAAATGATAACCCAATTGAGCTGGCTTTCTAATTTAAACTGCATACCCATCCTAAAAAATCAAACTTGTTAGTTAAAAATAATAATAAGTAACAGAGTTTTCTTTTCCTAAGGTTTGTAGTAGCAGTGCAAAAAGATTGTTGTCAAGTTTAATGTAAAATCATATATAATAAATTACAGAATAATTATCACCAATTTGTGATTATTGACTATAAATAGCATGGAAGGGTAGAAAATTTGATAACCATTTGGCTTCATGTCCATGGGAGCTCTGAGTCCCACAATGAATATGCCAACACGATAAAAAAGAATATTTCACTAAAATGAACAACTTTTAGAAAAAGAAACCAATTAGACTGCTTTTTCAACTTAGGCTGCATTTTAGTCTTATTTTTCTTTTTTGAAAGTTTGACAATCATATTTAACATGCTTTTCTCACAATGGTCGTCATGGCAGCAGCACCCAGATTGTTTTCTTCTATTTTGACGCAATATTACATAATGCTTAACAGCATGATGACCTTCAATTTTTAGTAATAAAATATTCGTATCATGGAAGCAAGGGTCTTCAAGACCGTGGAGGTTCTAAGTCACACCTTGAAAATGCCAATATGTGAAAAATTTAATTTTCGCAAAAAACTGTTTAACTGCCAGAAAAAATTACCAAACAGACTGCATTGCCTACTGAAGCTGTATTTTACTCCCATGTTTCTTTCCTGTAAGTTTGAGAACAGTAAGTGACATGGTTTACTTTAGATGCTCATCATGGGAGCAGTGCCCAAAATAGGGGTTTCTTCAAGTTTCGATGCAATATTACATAATGTTTGTCAGCATAATGACCATCATTTTTTAATAATTAAATATTAGTATCATGGATATTTAGAAAAATGTGACTAGCACAGGTCTTCAGGCCCATGGGACGTCAAAGTCACAACTTGAAAATGCCAAAACAAGACAGCACTGTTTTGAAATGTTTTATTTTCATTTTAAACAATTTTTAACATAAAACAACACGAACAGTTTACTGCCATTGATCAACTTCGAAAATTGATGAGATGGAAAAAATATCAATAGAACAGTGTTTAATGTCCAACTGCCTCCATTCTGGGAGTCTGAACATAGTGAATGATTGAATCTGACAAACTGCATTGATATGAGTTTATTTCGATTTTTAAAACTCTATAACATAATGCACGAGAACAAGTTAACCATCATTTTTACATAATCAACTTACCATTTGTAAAGATGCAGAAAATGTCAAACAAACACTTTTACGTATCTTATTAGTTAAATAATGAGACTGTTACATGTAACATGCCTAAGAATTGAATCTGAGAAAATGTGAAAAAAAAACAGCATAACTTCTAAAATAATGGCTCGATTAGGCTGATTTTCGAACTCAACCTAATTTTTAGTAAGTTTGATCACTCCTGTGAGTTTCATGACAATTGGTCTATCTGTTTTATTTATATTGTGTTTACAGTGTTGCATATATGCTGAAAAGTGAAAAAACAGCATAACTACAACTTTGGCCCGCTCATGCCGATTTTGGAACTTGACCTGCGTTTTAGAAAGATTCATTACTCCTGTGAGTTTCATGACAACAGGCCTATCGGTTTTCCTTGAAATATGTTAACAGTGTTGCATATATGCTGAAAAGTAAAAAACAGCATAACTTCTACAATAATTGCCCGATCATGCTGATTTTCGAACTTGACCTGCGTTTTATGAATTTTCATTAGCTCTGTAAATATAAAGCCAAAAAGCGACAGCGACGACAGACGCAGGTGATGGCAATATGTACAAATACCTCTGTGTCTGTACATAAAATAGAAATAAATATTTTTATCGATTGATACATCGCTTTATTTAAACATTTGAGCAACTTGTATAACATCTAAAACAAAGTACCAGCAATGAAAATATGTCAATATTGTTACACCCAACAGTAATTAAAGCAATGCAAAAATACATGAATGTGTGTGGCACAAATGGTTAGTTTTTATTTTGATGTGCTGATTATTTTATTTTATACTTTAGACAGTTAACCAATGAACACTAAATTCCCTTTTAAAACTTGGACCACTCTTCAATTTTAGCCAAAAACTAAATTTTACAAATTTACCTGCGGTCCAGTATCAGTTCCATTTGCATCTGAATTATTTTGTCTTTAATAAAAAGCACTACAAACCATGTCATGTGTGCAAAAACGTGCTTATAAAACTAAAGACAATGTATTTTATAACTGCATAAACCGTTCTTTAGGTGGTACAAACTTAAAATAATATGACAAATTTAAGTTCACTGATTACCAATAAATTTTATCATTAGCAACAGCCAGCACAGCTCAGAATATTTTTTATCCCTTAAAAGATCGTCAAAAGTTGTGATGGTGCTCATTGCCACACAAATATCCTAAACGAAACTCTGCAAACATCATATTGCACTAATTTTTTTTTAAAGAGTTCCCTTTCATCAAATTTTGGACCCGCCATTTTGAAAAAGTCCGATGGAAAGTTGTCTATTTGAAACGATGTTTTTCATCTAAAGGATTGATTCATTTAATATCACAATGATTTACTGTAATGATGATTTACTGCACGTGCTTACCCAACCAGAAAAACATAAATTATGTGCATACATCATGCACTTAAGAAAAAAGTCCTAAACATGGAGGTCCCACTGAATCGGCCTCAGATCTTTGAGCCAACGCTGGTTTCTGCACAGACAAATTTGACTGGCAGCCACCGTGAGAACATAAAACAATGCTCATAGCAGATTATCAACTCTCACTTATCTTTATATCGCTCGGCTTGGCATTTTTCTAAGTGTAACTTCAAAATATTCTCATTAAACATGAATAAATCAAGAAGTAGACGCACTGGTTCAGCTTCTCTGTCTTGAGCCACGCAGAGGCGCGTGGAGGATTAGACCAGTTTCGAGGATGTAATTTCAAAGGACGTCGCATTGAAAAGAATGTCACGATCTGATTGGACGAGAGAGAAAATTGATGTCTTGTTTCTACTCCTTCTCTTTATAACTTCTTGGCCGGCCCAAATGTCTGTCTCGCCTATTAAGATCCAGATGGATCGATCTAAATCTGTGGGAATGCAGTCTTAGACTCGCTGTCTGAAGTGAAAAATACTCAAGTACCGCCCAGCCATGCCAACGGCGGATTTAGAAGAGGGGTGCCAGGGGGTTCAACATGTTCTGAATGCGCGCTTAGGCAATCATAAGCTGCCCACTAGTAGTTATGAACTATAATATTATATAGCGTCACGATATGAGCTGGTGAAGACTTTGACAAAGTAAAGTAGATCTCATGTAGTTATTATTACAAGTACATTTGGTTACTTACAGTACCCGTATTCAAAGCAAATTTTACCACTTTGGGCGCTGAAGGAAGACTTGGTCCCACCTCTGTAGGCAGTCACTATGATGGACAATCCCATGAAGGACTGGTGAACGTCACTCAAGGAATACAAAACTTTTCTGTCCCATACCCAGGGACATATAGGATAGAGGCAGCAGGTGCGTGCAAATTAAATTATTTAAATTATTATCATCAAGGTGATGATATGTCTTCAACAGTCGAAAACATTTTGACCCAAACGAAATTGTGTGGAAAAAATAAATAAAAATGCAGACACTTGCTCACGAATTGGGTGAGCTGAATACCCTCGTAATGCAGTGTTAGTTGAATTGTGCAATCTTAATAGAATACGATCACTGTCCTGTAAAAGTTGAGTTCAAACTTAAAAGCTGAAATCGAGAAAATTGGAACAACGGAACTTAGACATATAGTGGATAGAAAAGAGAACAAGTAGCGTTCGTCAATTAAGATGTAATAATTGTAGTTTACATAAACATCGTACTTTTAGGTGCTGCGGGTGGATGTGACACATATTATTCCCCACAGGGTTGCGATCTGCGATTAAAGGGGGCGTATGTTGCTGGGTCATTTCAACTATCTGCAGGTACATATAATTTCGACATTTCCACTAATTAAATTTATCCTCAAAGTTATTGTACCACCAGCGTAGACACCATGGCGGTACACATGATTTTAGTCCCGACCCGCCTGTTCCGCCGGCTCCGTTGGCCTGCCTGTTCTGCCGCCAAGTTCCCGTTTCCGCTTCTCCTCTTAGACTACAAGAACCTGTGAACCCTTCTATTGGATTTAGGTCACATATCATCTCAACTCGATCCACGTGCATTTTGGGCCTTGTGAGTGCTGGGGTCTAGGTGTGGCACCTGTTGCAATGCACGCTTGTTAAAAATGTATAAAATTCAATGCTAAATATCTCCCAAACCGAAGAAATTATAGGGAAATTTTCTACAGATGGCTGACGTCATACGTGGGGATTTCAAATATGCTTTTGGATGTGACCTTTGACCTTTATTTCAAGGTCAAACGGGCCAAAATTTTCTAGAATTGAGAATTTTTTGAAAAGAAAAATTCTGCCGATTTTCAGAAACTACACAGAATTAACATTTAATATTATGGGCAGATGTTACCCTTATGGTCATGTCTTATATTCGTGAGTTTGGGGTAGCGGCCATAATATGCCGAAAATGAAAACTCTCTGTAATTCAGGAACCGTAAATGCTAGAGATCTCTTGTTTTTTGCATTTTGTAGAGCCCAACACTGGAAATGGTGTCCGTCTGGAAAAGATAACATAAGGCTTAGTGAGATAGACACTTCTGGTCAAAAATGACATCATTTCATGAAATTCGTACATCTAGAATTTCTGAGCACTTCCCATTTCAAGAATTTCAACAAAAATGACTATTTCTTTATTTCATTTTATTTCTTCTATACAAAATCTATGGCACATTACTGTAACTCTAAAATTGCAAACATTTCAGTCCCTTATATCTCCACAACTGGCAGAGATAGGCCCATAGTTACTATTGATGTTGAAAAGGAAGGCATATACTGGCAACTTAACTGTGACCTTCAAATTGACCTTTCACCTACTTTTTGCCATGAACCACACTTCACAAATTTGGAATAAAACTACCTTTACCCACAATTTTGTTTTAAACGATAACTTTCAACAAAAATATTGAGAACTTTTGTTTACTACCTTTTGTAGAGCTTGTCAAGCACAACACTGGAGTTGATGTCCCTTTTTTTAGCTTTTCCATACGAATGCGCTTACTCCAGCTGGTGGTACAATACCCAGAGGCGGTATCATCTCTCTGATCCTCTAGTTAAAACTGTTTTTACCACCATATAATCATAAATAATTGATTAATTAGTTGTCTCTATATTCCAAAGCCACACATGGCAATGTCCTGTAAAAGTTCTTTTTGAACATGTCATTTTTCGTCTCAATTGAAATGCAACCTACCGGAAATGATATATAAAGGCACCAACCATCTTGAAAAGACACTGCTAAGTGTGTTAAGGTAAAGATGAAAGGAAAGCAAAGTAAATATTTTCAGAATTTAAAAAAAATGTTCAAATTATTATTTATGAATGACTTAACCGCAAACCAAAATATACAAACTTTGATCATTTTAAAGGGATAACAACTGTTCATTTTGGCCAAAAAAAAAAAAAAAAAAGGATTTTCCTGGGGTAAAGGACAATTTTCCCATACTTACCAATGGTTAATGAATCCATTCCCACATTCAAAGTTAGTCCATGTTTTTTTTTCTAAAAAGTTCAGTTTTCTGTAATATTCTCTTAAGAGATTATTACAGAGAGTAGCCATCTATGGAGGTCACATTATGTGATGGCAAGCAAAATTCCAGAACAATTGCGTTAACTACCGTTTTTGGTGGCAAAATGGAATTTATTATATTTCTATGAGCGGTTTACAATGCATTTATTGTGAAATGTGGATATCTTATGAACAGTTGTTATCCCTTTAATTATGAAAGACGCTAATTATAACAAAAATTATAAGCTACTGATTAACAAATGTCTTTCATATCTCAAGGAGAAACGTTACATATCCTAGTCGGCCAGAAGGGGGGATATAACAGTTATGGTGCTGGATCAGGAGGCGGGGGAGGCAGTTTTGTTGCCAACTCCACTAACTCCCCGCTCATCGTGGCCGGCGGTGGCGGAGGTACAAGCCACATACGAAGATATCACCCAGAATGTGACGGCACCACCAATCCAGAGGGCGGCACTGCTTACGGTACTTCATGGACAGGTGGACGTGATGGTAACGGGGCACCAGGGTATCGTGCTGGATGTGGAGGCGGTGGATTCTACACAGATGGTGGCAACAGCAGCAACTATGATTGCACGGGTGGCAAGTCATTCCTGCACGGAGGGGAGGGAGGACTAGGAGTTCATTACAGATCTGGATCAGATGGGGGATTCGGCGGCGGGGGCGGCTCTAAAGGCTCGAGTGCGGCAGGGGGCGGGGGTGGGTACTCCGGTGGCGCTGGAGGCATCCACGGAGCTGATTATTGTGGGGGTGGAGGTGGTTCATTCAACTCTGGCATCAACGCAACGGGAATCAACGGTTACAACATTGGCCACGGTTTTGTCATCATTGAGTATTATGGTTATTAATTATTATGAAAGGTTTCCTGTATATTTGAAGAATAATATGACGACACGAAACAAGACTTGCACTGTGGTCACACCGAACACCTAAATCACCGTAATCAGCTATTATAATTTGACAGTATTTATAGATGAACTATTCAATAATAATAATAATAATAATAATAATAATAATAATAATAATTTTATTAATGTCTCACATTAAAAAAAAACACCCTACGAAGGGTTATGAGAGACTAAAACCTGTACTACTGCATTTGAAATCCATAGAAGTTCTTTAAAATTATTACTTATCAATAAAACACAATTCAATTGATCTAACTGCAAAAATGGGACCTTTGAATCCATTCATATTTATTTCAATAAAACCTGCTGAAACACGAGTTCTGTCTTTTATTCATTTATTTT